AGTGACGTATTTAGATTCTTTCTTTTGAAATCTTTTCACTGGTTATCAAAATAAGCTCTGCAAAAGTTGTCAGCTATTATGTCAAACTGGAGTTATTTATGTCAAATCCAAAGAAAATGAAGTTCCTGGGCCATGTTACAGGGGCTGTCATGTGTACATGCCTAAGAAGTCCAGGTGAGCTGTCCGTATCAGGGCACTTGACTAACGGTAGCTGTCTCCACACTTCCAGTGAGGTCCCATCTCCAACGGCCTTTGTTTCAAACAAGCGTATGTGGACTTCTAGAAGCCTGCCCTTGCCTCAGCCTCTTCAAATGTACCGACAGCCTCTGCCCACTGCACATCTACCTCGCACGCCATCCCCTGCTACTTCTAAACGCATTGGATGGAGACAGGCAGTCTCTCCGTCACTCGGGGTGCAATTTATCACCTTTACCAGCCGGAGACCAATTACATCCTCATCTCTTTCTACAGTTTGTTTTCTTACAGTTTGGTGTGCTATATTGAAATCTTAATTTATTTGGGATTTACTGTGGTATATGGCCTAAATGTGTTTCTGTTTATTTCTATTTAGCAACATTCTCATAACCGTAAATAAAGATCCCCTGTCCCCAGGGATGCCAACCATATGGCAAGTTGTTCTGAACACTGGGTCTGCTCAAGGCACCTCCGTGCCAGTCATCTGTCTGCTGAGAGGGCAGACCACCACATCGTCTTCATCCTTAGCATGTTGAGGAAGAGAAGTTGTGCCTCATATTTATACTACAAATGCGTCTTCAGTTCATTAGGAGAAGCATCTCTCCAGTTGTAGTCCAGCAAGGGATTCTGGAACCTTCCAAAGCCTTACTCATCACTGTGGTTGGTCTCTGTAGAGTCTAAAGCAACTCCTTGGAGTGGGTGATAGTGATACTTGGGATCTGGGTGTGTGACAGTCTGAATGAAAGGACTCCAGTACCAAGATGGCCTGTTCCAGGGCATGATGGGAGCCACTACCCCAGAACAGCTTTGGGCACAGGCACAAAGAACTGCTACTGCCCTACAAGGTGGTGACCAGGGAGAGTGTGATGGAAGGAGCACAAGGGGGGGTGTTACAACCACATGAAGGGGATGGGATTCACTTCCTGGAATCCTTTCCTCTGCCCAGAAGTCAGAATTCAGTATCAAGAAAATAAGAAGTCTCACTTCTTCCTGACTCGTGAGCTACTTCCTTAGGGTCATGTTAATTCTAAAGGGAACATGTCATTAAGGGTAGATCTTGGTAGGAAAAGCCAACTTAAAGTTCTTGCTATTGCCTTTCCAGTTTCACTAGAAAAGACTTAGCATGAAAGCACAGAGGTGCCCATGACGACACGTGAGGACAGGTATGTGCAGAGGTGTGTGCCACAAAAGGTTTCCTCCTGTGAAGAAGCACAGCAAACCAAGGTTGCAACCGCCATGCTGGGGTCCACATAGTATGACTCACAGTGGGAAAACTTTAGATTTCCATATTGTATTGGGTCCCTGCACTGCTATAATGAGCTACCATGGACTAGCTGTCCTAAAACAACAGAACTTTACACGTCTGACATTAAGACATCAGGCATGTTCTTTCTAAAGGCTCCATGGGAAGATCCTTCCTTGCCTATATCGAGGTTGGTTGTTAGCCAGCCTCAGCATTTCCAGGCTCACAGATGCACCATTCTAATCTCTGGCTCTGCCTCCAAGTACCTGCCTTCCCTGTGAGCACGTGTTCACACTGTGTGTGCTCTGTCTCTTTCTTTCTTGTAAGAGCATCAGTCATAGCAGGTTAGAGTCCACCCTAACGACTAGATTACATCTGCAAAGACCCTCTTGCCAAATATGGTCACAGTCATAGGTAGTAGGGTTTAGGGCTTCAACTCATAGTTTTGGGGGTAGCCAATACAATTAGAACACGTATGTCAACCAACCTTGTTCACTAGAGTCATTGCAAACACCAGCAGCTCTGTGTCAACTCCATCTTTTTCTTCCAGTATTTCCATGATGTTGGACCAGGGTTTGACACCTATACAGTAAAGCAAAAATCATTAGAAATGGCAATTCAACAATACCCATTATCTCAATCACACAGAAGTTTCTCCCAGGATTTACCACCAGGGATGGCAACATCTTTCAGTTATCATATGTGTAAATGTGATAACATCTTTAAAAGGTAGACTTGGGTCTGTCCTAATTAAGAACAATTCCTAGGGAGCAATACAACATCCTACCCTGTGATCTTCAGCAGGCCTAATTGTTTGGAAAGTTCCCTTTATATTAAATATACAATTAAAAAATAATTCAAGTGCATTCTTTTGGGACACAGAATGGGAAAGCGCTTCCTGAGTATTCTCTGAAAGTTCTTTGACACCCAGGGAGCAAGGCATAGAAGACCTTTATTTATTCTATGTGAGCCCAAAATAACAGTGGCAGACCTGTTTAACCAACACCCCAAGAACTGAAAAATACTACTTCTAATCCACAAGGATGCAAATACTATCTGAGCACCAGGGAAGAGACACTAGTTGGTAACTTGCCCTTGATGGATTGGTCCTTGACTAATGGAATGTCTAGGCAAAAGCATAAAATCAGACATAGACACAGAGCCAACAGCTGAGGAGTGGCAGAAATGTTCAGCCAAGCCTGCCATGGCAGGAAGGGGGGTATCTTCAGTGAGCATCGTTGTGTGGGGTTAGGACAAGCGAGCCCTGCTGTTGGGTCACAAGAGGGTCTCCCCAGTCCCTCGAAGGAAGGTGGAAAATGCCTCACATTCAAGACCACAAGGCCAAGGGCAAGGTCCCAACGGATGAAACAAACTTTTGGCATAGTTTTCAGGCCTGAGGTAAATATTAAAAGTGAGGGAAGCCCTGCCCTGCCCTTGGTTGATGGGCTGGACGGTGGGGCTCCTTCCTACATGCTTCCTCTATAAAGTATCTCAGAAACACATCATTTATTTTTGCCTGATAAGCAAATTTTGAAGTAACCTAAGCACAGCACTTTCCAAACTCTGAACCTTGGATGCATTGTGGCAGAGCTGATCCTGGACTTGAGATAAACATTTCCCAGAGGCAGAGGCAGTGTGACTCTTGTTCATCTCTGGGCTCTTAGCACAATGCTGAATGATAATGGAGACCTCAGAGAGGCCATGAAGTATGTGAGGATGGAACAGTTTTACAAGAGCCAGAAGGTAGATCACACAGAAAGAAAAGTAGGGCCAAAGAGTAGGAATCTTCTGTAAGATGTTGCAGACATAGATTAGCTCCACACACAAAGACAGGTCCCTCAGAAAAAATGACAGGCATGCATATATGTGTCTGCCTGTCTGTATCTACATGTGATCTCATCCTTTGGCTGAGTTACCCACTCAGTCAGAACCAGGCAATCTCCTGGGACTCTTTCTAACTCTGGATACAGAGGCATGTTCGGTTACCAGCAACCTGCTGACCTAGCCCACCAATCTCCTTCACAGTTGGCACCACAGTGTAGCTGTTCTTCAAGTCCCAGCACAGTAACCATTTCAGCTTTCAAGACAGCCAGTGGACGTGGCCGGTAGACCTGGGTCTATCTGTACAGGTGAAGCTGGAGAGCTTGGAAAGCCACTGCTTGTGTTTGTAATAGGCATCAACTCAAGGACTAGAGAGTTGCCAGCAGAAGGCTGTACGGATTACCACCATGTAGGGGAGGAGGCAACGAAGCATTTCTAATGGTGCTCCTGGGCCCAGACTACTGCTGGTTACCTCCTTTGAAGCTAAAGAGCCCAGCCTGGCCTGTTAAAGGAAAAGTCAAGCAGACCAGTGAGAGGGGAAGAGCCGATATAACCCCACTCTCAGACTTACAAACACACTTTTGTATCATCTATACCAGGCGTGTCCAACCTTTTGACATCACAACATGACACTGTGAAAAACAGTTTACATTTGATAACTGTGTAATTAAGTGACAAAAATATTAATTTAAAAAATCTCATAATGGGGCTGGACAGATGACTCAGGGATTAAGAGCACTTGCTATTCTTAGAGAGGACCCAGGTTCAGTTCCCAGCACCCACACAGGATGGCTCATAACTGCCTATAACTCAAGGATCTGATGCTCTCTTCTGGCCTCCATGGACATCAGGCATGCATGTGGGCATGTGGTACACATCCATACATGTAGGCACTCATACATACACATAAAATAAAAATAACCAAATCAGAGGCTGGAGAGATGGCTCAGTGGTTAAGAACACTGGCTGTTCTTGCAGAAGACCCGGGTTTGAATACCAGCACCCATATGGCAGCTAACAACTGTCTGTAACTCCAGTTCCAGGAGATCCGACGGCCACTTCTATCCTCCACAGGCATTGCATGACATGGGTGCACTTACCTACATGCAGGCAATACCCGTATACACACAAAATAAAAATAATAAAAAATAAAGTCATTTTTAAAGTTTCATAATGTTTTGAGTTTACCACTTTGGGAAAGGCTGCATTCACAGGCCTCAGGTTAGACACACCTGACTCTAAACCACTGTGATTATAGCACCCATGATCCCATGACCCCATGACCCCATGACCCTGATTTAGTTTAATTCAAAAATGTGTTTTCTCAGCTGTGATGTCTGCTTCCTTTATTATCATTTGGGATTTTTTTTTAAATTTAATTTGTTCTTAGATGATTTCAAAATGTATACAAAGCATGCTGACCACTCCTGCCCCCTACCACCCTGAGAAAGATCAGACACCTACATTTAAGAATTAAAGATTTTATTTTTTAACAGTTTTTTAAAAAATTTTTATGTGTATGAGTGTATTGCCTGCATGTAGGTAAGTGCACCTGTGTCGTGCAATGCCCTCAAAGACAGAAGAGGCCGTTGAATTCCATGAAACTGGAGTTACGGACAGTTGTTAGCTGCCATGTGGGTGCTGGGATTAGAATCCAGGTCTTCTGCAAGAACAACCAGTGTTCTTAACCACTGAGCCATTTCTCCAGCCCCATAAGATTTTATTTTTAATGATGTGTGTGTGTGTGCGCACGCGTGCACAGGTAAGTGCCCAGAGAGGGCAGAAGAAGGTGTCAGGTCCACCAGAGCTGGAGTTATAGCAGTTGTGAGCTGCCTTATGTGGGTGCTGGGAATTGAACTTGGGTCCTTTGCAAGAGCAGTAAGAGTTTTTAATGGCTGAGTCATCTCTAGTTCCCATTTTAAGGATTTTAAGCCAGGAAACTTGCACGGATTTCCACATTGATGAAATGAATGTTCATCCTCCTTGGAATGCTTCAGGACCAGAAACTGGGAGATAGAGGGATGAAGGTGAAGAGGAGGAGGAAACATGTAATGAACACAAATAGCTTTGGCAAGGCTCAGGCTAGACCTCAGGTAAGCAAGGTGTTCAGCTTAACTAGCTGCCTCCTGTCAGAATCAAGTGGCCTGACTCAGTCACCCTCCTCCGCCAAAAAAAAACCTTTGATAACCCCTCACTGTGTGTGTGTAAGCTGGTGGGGGCAGGAGTCCTTGTGTCAGACTCATCGGCCACATGACCTCTATCCCTTCATGTAACAGAGAAAGAAACTGAGCCTCAAAGTCAGGGAATGGGGTTGGCGAGATGGCTCAGCATATAAAGGTACTTACTGTGAAGCCTGATGACCTTAGTCCACTCCCCAGAAGCCACATGGCAGAGAGAATCAGCTTCCATAAACTGTCCTCCGGTCTCCACATATATGGCATGCATCCATATATATGGCGCACACGCATGCGCATGCACACACACGCACACACATACACACAATAAATAACTAAATAAATAAACGTAAAAACCTTTTTAAAAAGTCCAGGACTGACATCAGGTTAGGGACTCATCTGTGAACTGGATTTCTGCGAGGTGCCCCCGAGAGAAAAAGCACTTCAGTCTTTTCGCTTAGCACTGATGGACTGGATTGGAAGTCAGTGTGGGTATATTATCTGCCTCTCTCCAGCTCCACTGTCCACCAGCCCTGCTCCCCAAACACTGGCACACAGACTCCGTAAGAGCTTGGTGCCTTCTGGTGTTTCCGACCACATAGTTGATCCAACATTTGCAAAATAAATGAACTCTATATGGACACTTCGCTTTGTGCCTGTTGCACCACTGACACTTCAACATTAGCAGCTGTAATGATCATGGCCCTCACTTGTAGTGACACCCACGCTTACCCCAGAGCTGGCCTTCTGTATGGACTCACAGGCCAGTCCTCCCTTGCCACCAAACCACAGTGCTCTCTCTTAAATCAGAATCAGAAATACACATAAAATGTTTGAGACATTTCCCCATCTTTTGTTCTCTTGGTAGGTCCCTGCAATAAGCTTAAAGGAGAACAAGACATCTGATATGATGCCTTGCACGTGAGTCAGTCTACTGGTCAAACACGTGCTAGGAAGTTCCTCCAGTACATCCCAGATCTTTCCAGGTAATGCCTCTAGACACTCCCCACAGACACTTTGGCATAATGAACAGCGGAGGGCCAGCTGGAATCCTTAACCTCTAGCTTCCAGTGTCCTTGGGGCATTCTTCACCACTCCATACACTCTTGAGCAGAATCAGCAACAGGATCACTTGATGGGATGGTTGGGCTTTCCCCCCTGTTAATCATGTGTGATACACATGTTTAAGAATTATGTCATAAGCTCATCACTTTACATTCAGTAACCTCTAGCTTCCAGCGTCCTTGGGGCATCCTTCACCACTCCATACACTCTTGAGCAGAATCAGCAACAGGATCGCTTGATGGGATGGTTGGGCTTTCCCCCCCTGTTAATCACGTGTGATACACATGTTTAAGAATTATGTCATAAGCTCATCACTTTACATTCAAATGAAAAACAGAACTTCAAAAGCTGTGCTGAACCAAATTAGGCATGCGCATGCACACACACGCACACACATACACACAATAAATAACTAAATAAATAAACGTAAAAACCTTTTTAAAAAGTCCACATGCGCATGCACACACACATACACACACAATAAATAACTAAATAAATAAACGTAAAAACCTTTTTAAAAAGTCCAGGAATGACATCAGGTTAGGGACTCATCTGTGAACTGGATTTCTGCGAGGTGCCCCCGAGAGAAAAAGCACTTCAGTCTTTTCGCTTAGCACTGATGGACTGGATTGGAAGTCAGTGTGGGTATATTATCTGCCTCTCTCCAGCTCCACTGTCCACCAGCCCTGCTCCCCAAACACTGGCACACAGACTCCGTAAGAGCTTGGTGCCTTCTGGTGTTTCCGACCACATAGTTGATCCAACATTTGCAAAATAAATGAACTCTATATGGACACTTCGCTTTGTGCCTGTTGCACCACTGACACTTCAACATTAGCAGCTGTAATGATCATGGCCCTCACTTGTAGTGACACCCACGCTTACCCCAGAGCTGGCCTTCTGTATGGACTCACAGGCCAGTCCTCCCTTGCCACCAAACCACAGTGCTCTCTCTTAAATCAGAATCAGAAATACACATAAAATGTTTGAGACATTTCCCCATCTTTTGTTCTCTTGGTAGGTCCCTGCAATAAGCTTAAAGGAGAACAAGACATCTGATATGATGCCTTGCACGTGAGTCAGTCTACTGGTCAAACACGTGCTAGGAAGTTCCTCCAGTACATCCCAGATCTTTCCAGGTAATGCCTCTAGACACTCCCCACAGACACTTTGGCATAATGAACAGCGGAGGGCCAGCTGGAATCCTTAACCTCTAGCTTCCAGTGTCCTTGGGGCATTCTTCACCACTCCATACACTCTTGAGCAGAATCAGCAACAGGATCGCTTGATGGGATGGTTGGGCTTTCCCCCCCTGTTAATCACGTGTGATACACATGTTTAAGAATTATGTCATAAGCTCATCACTTTACATTCAAATGAAAAACAGAACTTCAAAAGCTGTGCTGAACCAAATTAGTGGGACCTAAGATTTACAACTACAGTTTAAAAATGAGTTACTCTGTCTGGTCCCTGATCTCACCCTCTGTGGCAGAGGCTAACCATAGTCAGAGGGAAGGTTGCCCTGACTCGCCTCCTGTTTACCACCACAGAGTAGACCTTGAGAAAAGGGTGTAGGACCTACATGATGAGAAAGTGAAGCGCTCCTATGGGCCTTCCATGAACTCCACTCTCTTCCTGGCAAGCTGCATGCACACAAAGAAAAGAGACTTAAAGACAAAAGAAAAGAGAGGACTTGGGGGGATGGCTCAGCTGGTAAAGTGCTTGCCACACAGCAAGAAGGTTGCCCTGACTCGCCTCCTGTTCACCACCACAGGGCAGACCTTGAGAAAAGGGTGTAGGACTTACACGATGAGAAAGTGAAGCCCTCCTACGGGCTTTCCATGAACTCCACTCTCTTCCTGGCAAGCTGCATGTACACAAAGAAAAGAGACTTAAAGACAGAAGAGAAGAGAGGACTTGGGGGGATGGCTCAGCTGGTAAAGTGCTTGCCACACAGCACAAGGACCTGAATTTAGTCCCCAGGACCTATGTCATAAAGCTAGGCATGGCGGTGTGTGCCTGGAATCCCAGCTCTGGGGAGGCAGACAGAGGGGGAGGCGGATCCCTGGAGCTTGCTGACCTCAGTCAGTCTAGATAGGACAAGTGTCCTAGTTTGTTCTTCATTGCTGTGACAAAACACTCTGACCAATACCAACTTGGGGGGTAAAGGGTTTATTCAGCTTACAACTCCCAGGTCGCAGTTCATCAGGGAGCCAAAGGTAGGAACTCAGGGCAGGAACCTGGAAGCAGGAGCTGGAGCACAGGCCATGGAGGAACGCTGCTTACTGGCTTGCTCCCCTGGCCCCTGCTCAGTCTGCTTTCTCATGCAACACCTGCCCAGGGGTGGCACCCACTCATCAAGAAGATGCCCCTCAGACATGGCCACAGGCCAGTCCAATAGAGACAATTCCCCAACTGAGGCTCACTCAACCCAGGTGTGTCAAGTTGACACTAAAGCATCCAGCACAACAAGCCAGTGAGCTCTCCAGGTCCAGCTCGAGAATCCGTCTCAAGGAGGAAAAAAAAAAAGTCAGAGATTGAGTAAGAAAGACATTCTATGTCAACCTCTGCCCTTCCCCATGAACACATGTGTACACACAGACACGTACACACACATGTATACACACATGTGCACTATAACCGAGAGTGAAGATGATCCAGAGGTCTGAGGAGACAGGTCTGAGGACCAGGCCAAACTCAGAGATTAAGACAAAGTCACCTTTTTCATTCCAGCCCCAGAGGAAAAAAATAACTGGCTAGGCCAAATAGGGCATTTAAACTTTTTTGCATATTCATAAATATTAATTACTACCCACGATGTACATTTTATTTGCTTGACAGCACTAAAGCCTGAGCAGGGCCCCTTGGATGCTACAGAGGCACTCTGCCACTGAGCCCCGCTCCAGGCCTGTGGTAGACTTCACTATTTTCTCAGCTCTCTAAGTGGTCCACCCTAGCCTGGGCTTCAGAGTGAACCCTCTGCTTAACTCACGGGTGGCAATGCATGATGCTTATAAAGCAACCAGGGGAATTTGGTCTGGAATGACTTCATCTGCTTTAGGGGGTAATGATTTTTTGAGGACTTTCAGTTTATTTTGTTGGTTTTATTTGCTGATTTCTTAAATCTGACAGTTTTTCTCGCTATTAAAAAAAAAAAAAAAGAAAGACAAATGTCTCCTCTTTCCTCTGCCAAGGAGTGAGTGAAAGGCCTGTCTGTGGAGCGGAATTTGTGGCTTATGAGTACGTGCACCCACACGGACATGCTCAGCTCCCCTTCCATCATCTCTGGCACACGGACTACTCTGCAACCCAGCGGAGAAGGAGCTGGAGACCGCTCTTACACCTGCTGCTGGAAACACCTGGAAGGCGTGTGGCTCTCTGAAGAACCCCATGACATATTCCTATATTGAATTCCATCACAGGATTCTGGATCAACTTTACTAGCAGTAAACTAGGATGATGTTATATGTATGTACTAGGAAAGTCACAGCCAAGACCACACATGTCCATGAAGAAGCACGCTATTGAGCTGCACATCATAAGCTTTCTGGGTTCTTCCATTAGTGATCTTCCTTTGTTTTCAGCACTCAGTGCTCAGTCAACGGCAGATGACAGAAGCTGCCA